TCATTCTGGTGAAACACTGATGAGTGCGGAATGTTTACTCACCTATAAGCCTACCGTCCTTGTGCCCCCTACTGAGGTCTGCCGTCAGGGCACCTTCAGAAATCACGCAGCTGTATTCTGTCATCACCTCAGCGAAATGTGCTGTGTGCCAGACAAGCATGTTATGTATTTTGTAGATGGCAATAGTTTTTGATGCATTCAGAGTCTCTTCAAATGGTTGATTTGTTCCGCATCTCTGTTCACGAATGTTTTATGTATCGCATCCACAAACCTAATTGCCTCGTTTCCTATCAAGTTACCCCACCTTTGTCATGCCGGATCTGTAGACGCATGAATTCAAGTTGTTATGACAGACCGTGAACACGGAGCACCGAATGAACACCAATCAAGCATGAAAGCAACTGACTATACGTTGAATCAACGTTTTCGAATAGGCACTTGCTTGTCGTGATCAAGCACCAATTGAAACAAGTAGTACATCTATACTCAGCTGGGTGTCTGAGGTCCACAACTAATGTGCAAGGTTTCCCCTCTGAGGTTCACGCTAAACTGACCTTTGAGAGTGGGGACACATTCATGTGCTGATTCAGGCCTAAACTGTACACAGTCCCCCTAAGTTTTGAAAGTACGTGTTGGCAATCTAATGAAGATTTCGTCCTCTAAGTGGAGCGGCTCGTGACCAAACGGTTAAGTTTTCAAACTACTAGCTGGAAGGCCGCGGGTCAGAGACTCTCTGGAGTTTCGTGAGATACGCGCTGCTGACGATGAATAATAAGGATGAAACAGCCACATAGTGCTTTTAGGCTTTTCCGAGTAGATTGGATCCACTTAGAAAATATGGATATTAGGGTTCCCACAGAGCGGTATGACCAGCGGATTTACAGTACTTTGTCGAAAAAAAATGAACGATAAGCATACTGATGGGAGCAATCACTACCATCCTCATCTCGGTCAGTGATCATGTGAGTGGAGGTGGTGCAAAGGAGGAAAAAAGCCTGGAGAAAGATGTGTTCTTCCTTTGGATGAGTGCCTACTCGAACCAGAACATGTGGACAGTGAATGTAGGCAATTAGAAAGCAGCTAAGGATTGTTAAATTTCAGATAAATCTATCCAGGAGAGAGATCATGCAATTTCCAAAATGCATCTCTACATAGATGACCACCAGTAGGAAGAATAGTCAGGTTTCAACGACTTCACGACAGCTGCGACTGAATGTCACGCGAATAGGTTACTCATGGATATTGTAGAGGGAACTTCTACAATTCGTTTAGCTGGATCTCTTACCTGGTGAGCAAATCGATCTGGTTTCGCTAAACCAAACAATGAAAGGGGGG